CATTACATGACATTACTTTACATTACATTACATGACATTACTTTACATTACATTACATTACTGTACTTTACTTTACATTACAGTACATTACATTTCATACATAGATTTAGTATCATCGTGACACCAACCAAACAGTCTCACCAGTTCTCACCAGGTTTGAATGGCACTGCAAAGCACTGCGACGTCTCGGAAAGGTGGTGCAGAGTGGCCATGGCCTCGCTTTCGCTTGGGCCTGAAGAAGTGAGCAAAGGAAACAAGATTAGACAAGCACATCAAGCACAAGCCCAATTGCTGCTTCATGAGGTGGATTGAGGCGGATTTTCTTATCGGACCTGGTGGATCTCCAAATCCTCAAGAATGCTGTCACCAACATCCTGAAGTTGGACGAGAATCAGTTGTCACAAAACCAGAACAGTGCATATGTTGACCCATGTTGACCCGGTGCAGCAGACGGTTGATATCTTTTGATGCATCATTGAATCATTGCATTTATTTTTTAATCATTATCATTGCAGGCAGAACGTTTGCCTTTGTCTGAATCGCCCAACCGTTCATGAAAAACTTGGGATATCTTGGGATTGAGATCCTTGGGATGGGTCAAAACTTCACCCGTGCCTCGGTTTCATCAAGCATGATGTCACCTTGAAAGGCTTGATGGTTGTTCAGGCCTGGAAGCGTCTTGGAATGTCGAGTCTTGCTGTTTGTTCTGATTCTGTGAGCTGCAGGCATTTGGACGCGCACAATCCACTGTTTCACTTCTTGAGGATTCAGTTCCGTTCATTTCCATTCGGTTACAATCTAAGAGACTGGCTTAGCCACAAGCACTGCTTTGGACCATCTGGTTTTTGTAGATATCGTCGCAGGGCACTTGCGTGGCGCTTATCGAGTCGCGAATCCTAAAGGCTGAAAGCTGAACCAACCACGGCAATCTAAATGTTTATCTGACAAGAAACAAAAACAGTCACAAAAATGCATCAATTATGGCATTCAATGGAATCAGGTGGACCCTGGCAAGCTTCTGGTTCGTCCAGCACGATGAATGGCAAAGAGGCGTCTTGCATGCCACTGATGAACCCAGGAAGAACAAACAACATGCTCAGCGCACAAACGTCCCTGCGGGGACAGGAGGAAGTCAGGGATTGTAGCACAAACATCCGCAATTGATGTGCTGATATGATGAACACAATCACCATGTTTTGTGTTCTTTCAAAAGCAATCAAAAGGAACAAAAAGAATACAAATGATTCTGTAGTAGTGGAACCACCACGTATTCAAGAAGTAAGGAACACTAGGAACACCAATCAAGCATCCAGCAAACCCAGCCTTGCTCCATCGGACAAACTATTCAGGGAAGTCCCGTAGCCAGAGCTGGCTCCTCCACGCTTGGCTGATGTGAGTAGATCGAAGGAGCCATCAGGCAAGCGTCGCAACTTTGCTTCGCCGCCCTCTCCCCACTCCTTCAAAACTCGCGTTCATGTAATCCAAAGAAAAATTGGAATTTCTGCTGTTGAATCAAAATCCACTTGTTGCAGAATCATGGAGTTTTGTCTTGCAGCTTGATTCATCTTGATTCATCTTGATTCATCTTGATTCATCTTGATTCATCTTGATTCATCTTGATTCATCTTGATTATTCATCCCAACCTCCATGGTGTCGTCCAAGGGCTCTCTTGTGAGCTCCCGGTACACTTCATCGATTCTTCGCGTGAGCCATGCTTCAGCCGCTTCAGTTCGAGATCTCGCGCTTGCTGAGCTGTAAGCCCTTGGAAACACATGGAAACTATGCGTTAAACTCGAAAGATTATATGGAAGGTCTTTTCACATGGTTGGATCCGCTTGGTTCAGTCTTGGATCCTTTTCAGTGTGTTTCGGATTGGTGAATGGGAAGTCAGCAAAAGCAGCAAAAGGCCAGTCCTGGCTGCACCCTTTGTAGTGCACCGCCGCTTCAGCAGTGATCCAGAAGCGGTTCCTTCCTGGTTTTTCAGCATGTTGAAGACTCAAACATATTTCAAAATGTTTGTATTCTAAAATGATGGAAAGCTCCAACTGCAAATCAAAAGTTAGAAACGTGACCCATGAGATCTTATACTATATTATCATTATCATATTATCATATATAAGATCTATCCCCTAAGCTGCGCTGAGAAAAGTAGGATCTCTGCACTGTGAATTCAGGGCTCTGAGCCAACTTTCTCGATCTCCTCAGGGAGCATTGCCAAAAGCCCAGAGGCACTTCGCCCATCAATGAGACCAAATTGGGGTAGAAGAAGGTCACCACCCATCCACCTGCGGCGATTTTTCGCCAAGTAACAGCCAACATCATGTCAGGTGATCAGTGATCCTCTACATGTGATTCGATGTGATTCTATATATGGATGTGTGTGTGTGAGTGCACCAAAAACATCACTATATATAAAGGAACAAAAAAGGGTGATTGCATGACGACTCTTCTACACTATTGTTGCGTGCTTTCAGCGAAATCCGTCCTTCCTGACTTTTGGGCTCGGCCATAGATTGTAGTGAATGGCGGAATGGGTGGTGACATGTGGTGACAAACATCAAAGAGGGACTGGAAGGGGATCCACCAAGCCACTGAAGTGCTTTCAGCCATTCAACATAGCCTTCCTGCGATACTTCTTTCAGTTCTTGACCTTCTTCCTGGACCCAATGAGAAAGAATATACGAATCCTTATTGGATCTATCCGGATGGACTCGCACTTCACGGACAAGCAGCACTGTGCCTTCCAGCAGAGGAAAGCTGCGGGAGGCTTGAGAAACCAACGTCTGATGGGTCACACCATGGCCAGATTAGCTCAAGATGAGGTGCAGTTTACGGATTTTATGACGAACACATAGTCAGTCATGAATTGCAACATATTTCAAAATTAATGTCTTGACATGCTGCACGCCTTGAAGGCTGCTTTCTTCAGCTTCTTGTTCGTAGCGGAATTGCAGTGTAACACGTGCGTTCGATGTCATTGGCTTGCCCCGGCGAATGTAGTCTCGCAGATTCCGATCACACTGACGGCCCAAAGCAAAGCGCAATGCATCCAGAACGGCTGATTTGCCACTTGAGTTGCAACCAACCGCACAAGAAAGTGATCGCCCTTCGAGCTGAAATTGTCGCCTCTTGAAAGACTTAAAGTCATGCAAATCCAGCGACAGTAAGCTCGCACGCGCTTTCGCACGCCAGGTCGGCCCATCTGCCGCACGGCTTGCGTCTGATGCTGCGGGATCCACCAAACAAAGCAGCCTCAAGTCGTGGTGGGGAGAACGGGAACAATTCAATACTTTATGAATTTTATGAGATAAATCTGAGATAACAGTTGAACATGGTTGCACTGATGGTTTCAACTGTCCAATCATGTTCAATAAGCAGCGCGAAAAACTGCTCAAAAGATCTGAAAAGTACAATTGATCAATTTACAGGAAAGTAACTCGCTCATTCTACCAGTGCCTTTCCCAAACCTCATAGGTTGCACTGCGGGCTGAGCAGACTGCGCTGGTTGTACCGACTGCACCGGTGTTGACTGTGCTGGCGCTGACTTCGCCGGGCTTGATTGCTGTGCATGGACTGACTGCTTCACCTCTCCTGTGCACAGCAAGTGTCGAATTTGCCAAGTACTTTCAAGATTCTGATTACTACTTGCGTCACCTACATCTTATCTACTTGTAAGTACTATACCTATCTATACTTGGAGCTGCCAGGAGAATAGATTCAAGGTGATTCAACTGCTAAATGACAAGGAGAGGCATCTCTTGTTCTGTGAGATTCTACCTGTCTGATGTCTCTGACGTGTCCTTCTGACTTTGTAGAAGCGCTTGTGGCTTGGACTGGTTCTGAAGACGTCTTGTCTTGCGGCGAATCCTTTGTCAGGCTTTTGTCTCTTGGGGAACCCGCTGGGCAAAGTGCCCTTTTGACCAGACTCGTGTAGCTCAACATTGGAGGCACATAGCCAGGTTCAGGTGTTCCATCTTCCAATCCAGACAGCAACGGAGAGAGGTCGTCGTCAGTTCGCTGCACCTTTGCTCGTCTTTCTTCTTCGAGATCGTCTTCCACGAGAAAAACAGGCTGTGGAGGGGGTGGCGCAACTGGTAGCGATGCCTGCTGCGTCACTCTTTGTCTCTTCAGCAGCATGTCTCCACGATGGGGCAGAGGCTCAAAATCACGTTGTGTGTGTGTGTCTGTGTCTGTGTCTGTGTCAGCTGTTTTGTACTTGGTGTATGTTTGTTCAGACTTTTGAAACATGTTGGAAAATGCTAAAACCGTGTCTGAACATGATGATTTTGCCCACAACGTCTGAAAGTCTCAATCATCTGGACTACAACTCTCGTGCTGCATGGGTGTGTAACAGGAATGGCTATTTCGTTCACTAGTCGAAACGTTGACTCCCTACTGACGCGGCTCCAATTCAGAGCCACGAAGCTGCAAATTTCATAGAGATTGATCCCGATCAGATGCCTCCTGAATGTTGCGCCTTCAATGCCTGCAGAAAAGTCAAGAGCTGGAACCGCTGAAACCTGTGCATCTCTGACTTCTTTGACTTCTTTGACTTCTTTGACTTGAGTCACTTGAGTCTCTGCGAGTGTGAGTCCCAGGTTGAAAGGAAACGCGCAGACAACCCACACGCAGTCTTTGCAGCGCAGGTACTCTGCAATATTTCAAACTCACGGGTATCCACTGGGTCCTTGGCAGCAGCAGTATCGTGTCATGGTGAATGACTTTCCGTTCAAATGTCATCTCCTGGCATGCATCGTCTTTGCTGCAAACACCAACTCAAGTACTATGCGAGTGTTAGTATCCATCTACCTACCTGCCTGTCTATCTTGACTAATTAATCTACATAATCTAACCAAGTCCAATGGAAATCAATCTAAAAAAAATCTAGTCAAATCTAACTGTGTGCGTAGTATCTATATATATATATATAATATATCGAATCATATCACACATTCAATAGCAGCAAAGCTCTTCTCAGAACCAGCATGCTTGTTGTTGTCTAGCATCTGTCTTCACCTGCTGACGTCACAGCTGCGATAGAAGCGGCGCCTCAGCAATTTGAGTCAATTGAATGTAGTTCCAAGCATATAATCCGACACAAAGCTTGTGGCTAGGTTATTTACGACTCAACAATACTCAACATGTGCACTCTAGCTTTGCTGGTCGTATGTGGTCATTCAATTCTTTTGTTTTCTTTCTCTGAATGTTTGGCATTGAAGTAGTGTCCTGGTCCAGATTCGGCTAAGAACAAGACTTGCAGCTTGTTGTTGAGCTTCGTCAGACATGCCAAGACTTGCCGCCGTCGCCAAAGCAAAGGAACTGGCGATTTTGCCTCGTTCTTCTGCGGTTGCCCAAGTTGCAGCTGCAGCTGCAGCTGCTGCTCCAGCTGCAATCTTTTCGTCATGTGTCATTCCACAACGGTCTGCGACCTGTAACGCAGCCTTGGATGCTTCCTCCAGCTGCCCCCTCTGTGTCAGTGGTTGCTTGGCACTTGCGCCAGTGGCTGCGGCCTCAGCTGCTGCAAATGCCGCTTGCAACTGTGGCGGCATTCTCGCTTTGGCAGCAGCTGCGGCAGCTGCGACTGCAGCGTCTCGTGCTTGTAGAACTGCATCTCTGCCAACCTCAAAGCAAGCTTAGTTTTGCCTTCTCCAAGAAAATCAACAAATCCAAATGAAATTGGATTCAAGCGGCATCTACAGGCTCATGGCTTAAGAAGCCTCGACTTTCAACAAGCCCTTTGGCTGATACTTGGATGTTTTCACACACCAAAATATGATGCGGAAGAAAAGAAGTGTCTCCTTGGTTTCTCAATGTTTCTCAGCTCTCCAGCTGCTCTGGAGCCAACTTGAACAAGTACCAAAGTGAGCCGAGTATCCCTTCTCATTGCATCGGCAGCCACTCTGGCCGCTTCAGCTGCTTGCTCCCGAGCTGCACGGACCTTGTCAGCAAAAGCTGCTTTCTCCTCCTGACAACACAGGCAAAGCTGAAGATGGCCAAAGCATGCCAAAGCTACCTAGCGCACCTGGAATGATATGCTCAGTGTGTCAAACGGAATAAATTTGAGTACTGTACATACTAAAATCAAACAACTCGGCAGTGTCTAGAGTCCAAACGTCAAGGCTTGAGTAAGATCAAAAAGGGTGCCTCTTCTCGAACCAAATGCGAACGATCGTCTTCCTTCTGCATACACTGTCGGTTCATATCCAGAAGGAACCTTAACACATGCATAATTTTCCACAACAAAACAGAGCCTGCAGATGTTCGCTGAGTGCACAGTGCAAGTCAAAAGAGGTACTTTGTGGGCCAGAGTGCGCATTTCATTCAGTGGAGCCAATATGTGCCATGCGCTATTTCGATCTATTTCGTCTTGGATGAGCCAGTTGCGGGTCTGATTAGGGCAAATGAATCCACAAGCCAGAGCCTGAAGGTATGCTCAATCGAGCTAAGGTGATCAAATTGTTCCAAAAAATCAGTTTGGCTTATAGTAAACTCCTCTGAAAGGGTGGGGCATGCGTCTTGTAAAAGCAAAGAGTGACTTCAACTTTGTCTCCGGAACCAGTCATCTAGAGAAACGATCTAAACGCTCCTTGTCTATTGTTTCCTGCTCGGCTAAATATGTTGCTTTTGCGCAATCTATCATCCAGCATGTTCAGTCAAGTCATGTCTATACACATGACAAAAGAGCATGCTACTTGAGAACGGATTCCATTATATACCCACTAGTCGAGTCTTTGTGGATATCGCATCTGTGCGTTTATGAAGTCGGCAAACTCTTGCTGATTCACTGCACACAGGAGTGCGGACTCAACACAATTCCTTTCTGCAAGTGAAGTAACAGTCTAGGGTGGGTTACTCAAGTCAAAATCATCATAGCTGAGGAACGCGAGGTGTTTGCGGAACTCAAGTGAAAGTTCATCTTCCAGCTTCATTGCTTTCTGCTCTTCAACTCTCTTTGTCCAGTCCTGCCCAAATGCAAATCTGGAGTAAAGTTGATTGAAGCCAAAATGTTCACAGTAAAGTCTTTGGAACTTGTTAAGAAATGTTAAAACTGCCTCGAAGTTGCGGCTTTCAAAGTCTGCTCTACCCATCTCCTGGTCAGTTCAGTGGAGCAAGTAACATCCTGCAGTCTTCCTAGATGTGGTTTCCCCCAGTGAAATGAAATGAGGCCAAGTGAACTTGAGTTGAGCAATGGTGAATATCCCAATGTCTATACTTGTGATGCAGTGTCTCCTTTTCCCAATCACTTCCAAAGCAGGCTAAGTGGACAAAGCAGCGGCTGAATGACAATATAAAGGCGTACACTTGGACGGCATACGGTTGAGTTGAGAAAATATTCCTTGATTGGTCCACTATAAAACACTAATGCATAATCTCGCATCATACATTACGTGTACCACTTGTTGCCACCCACATCAGTCAAGATTCCGGAAGTTCTCTGCAAATGACCTGGCGGCAATGCAGCCAACTCAACGTGCGGCGCTGGCAGACTGACAGGCTGACAGACAGCATTGCGTGTTTCTGCTTGTTCTGGTATCCGGGAAAGCAAATTGATGAGATGTACAACGTTCCGACAGTGCTGACATGCTGCAGCGCCTGGTATTCTTCTTCAAATAGCATGTTGCGAAGCTCTCGACTCTGGTTCTCCCGCTCAATACGAAGCTCTTCTGCGATTCTCACCTGCCGATATTTTGACAATTCTGCAAGCCTTGGAATGCTGCTGCAACTCGTCTGACATGGCTACCTTCAACATCTTCAACAGGCTGCTTTGCAGTCGCATGAATCCTGTTCAAAACATGGTGAAGGTAAAGGCTATTCATTATTTTTAGATAATGAATTCGAAACAGAATGAAATGCAAACGTCAACGAGTCAACGGAGACCGCCAACTTATTGGCTTTTTGGGTTCGGCTCGTTTAGAGCTAAAATATTAACCAGACACAAGTTGCCTCAGCACTACTCACTAGAACTTCCTCCTAGTCATGACAACGTCAGATTAGCTCAGAAAGATCCAAAGCATGTTTACTCAACACATTCGAACACAAGTAGAAAGCTTCCGTGGCCTCGTTCCAATCAACAAGACGTCTATGGCCATGTTTGCAAAGTTTCCGTTCTTTCATGCTCAAGCGCTCATCAGGCAAAGCTTCGACAAGAAGCTCCTTGGCTGATGGGTACGGTGAAGAAAGCCGAGTCAGACTGGGAATGGCTGAGATGGCTCAGGATGCCAGTACCCGAAATAGTTGAAACATGTTGAAACTGTAAATTGCAGACACGCAAATGAAATGGTTTGCTGCACCATTTTTCCCATGGCTTGTTGCATCCTGCTGCCATGACTCCGGAACGTTGCAATTGATGAGAGACATCTTATGCTCTTCATCCCAGGCGAGTTCAAGCAAGATACTCAGAGCAGGCCATCGCACACTGGGAAGCTCTGATTTGGAGGCAGCAGCAATGATGCTGTCTTTCATGGTACCAGGTGAATCCATTTGATCATCTTGATCGGTATGTGTGCGCTTCACATGGTCTCCTGACTGTTTGGATTGCGATGCAGCAGATGCATCGCTCCCCGCCCTTGACCTGCCACCAGAAACATCACTCCCGAGACGTCCACGTTGGCTGCCAGCGCTTCCGAGCATCTCTCTGGCATAGTGTACATCATCCTTGCAGAGTTGCCGCGTTTAGAATCGTTTAGAAACATGAGAATTTTCCATTTCTCAGGATGGAAAGATTTCATGTAGTATAATGTCATAGCAGTGTCGCGCTGTGATTGTAGCTTTCCCACAACTGTCCTGGTCCGGATTTCTTCTGGCGAGAGAAACATATGACCACACGGATGCTCGCTTTTCTGGATTTTTGACGATACCTGGCAAGACATCTAAGGTTTTGCCAGCCTGTGTGTGTGTATGTGTCGTTTCATTTGGAGACTCTGCACGTAATGGTGTATGCGTAGAAAGGTCCTATACATGTGCATATTGTGTGCAAAGTCGCAATCCAGGAAGTCATCACTCATGACTCATGACCAAATTTCTGCATTGCACTTCCAACTCAAGACAAAGTCAAGTCACTTGCTAAAACCGTCAAAGCTTTTCCACGAATGCGTGATGGCTGGTACCGAAGGGTGTTGAGAAAGATGTCTTCACACACACGACTTTCGTCTTCATCTTGCCATAGAAAATGTGCGACAGCTTGCTGGCCAGCCAGAGCACTCAGTACACCAAGTCCACCTTCGCGGATATCCGCATCTTCTTCCTCTTGAAGACTTTGAAGGACTGTGGCCCAAATCACTTGATTTCCAAAGAACAACTCGGGGCTTTGACAGACTACCGCTGCACTCCAAAGGGCCCGGAAGACAAGAAGACGTTGGGAAGTCTCTGCGTTTCTTCGAGCTGCCTTTCCAAGTACGTCCCTAAGGTCCTCACTTACTTGTTGACACTCATGAAAAGCTGGAACTGCCAGAGCTACCAAGGCCAGAAGTCCCTTCTCCCGCACTTCTTGGGGCTGACCATCAGTTTGAAGATTGGCCAGACTTTCCCGCACCTGTGAAAGAACGTCAAAGAACTTCACATGCCCTCAAATACTCAGCAAATATCTGCTGGATGTTGAATCTTAGCGTTCTGACGTACGCTCAAGTCTAGCCAAATGCAAGAAGTCTAAGTGCTTTGGATTCTGGGAATGGATGGAAATGGATGGAAATGGATGGAAATGGATGGAAATGGATGGAAATGGACACTTGGAGTAATCCCGTGCCTGGTCGTTGTGAAGTAGAGAATGACAGTTTCTGGACGATGCAGCAAGGTGGACCATCACCCCCAACGAAAGTATTCGCGCAAGCTCCGGCTGGTTATCTTCTAAGCCTTTCAGCAGGATCTCTTGAACCTGGCGCAACTTACATTGCTTTGAATTGTAAATCTAGCTGCATATCCTACATATTCCTACATGGGTTCTAAGCGGTTTCCAGAACTCATCTCTTGCCTTTACTTTAAGGCTTTGCTTCCTGTCCCCTTATGTGTTCCATTACACTGCCTTCTCTTGACACGGTCTTCAGTTTGTTTTCACCATGTTGTGGTTAACCATGTCCTGTTTCCAGATGATATGACATGAGATGACCAGCAATGAAACACAATCGAGCTGATCCCTGAATTGGCAGGAACTCAGCGACTCAGCGCCTCTGCATCTTGCCACAGTGCTTCTCGCAGACCCGAACATGCCACGTCCCGCAACTTCAACAAAGCGAGCTTTCGGTCCACAGTTGGCTGTGGTTTCTCTTCCTTCTTTCGCTTGCTACCTGGCAAGATGTTGGCAAGATATTGACAAGATGTTGGCAAGATGTTGGCAAGATGATTCAAGGCTACTTGATAGAAGGAAAACATAGAAAAAACATGAAAAAGCAACATGTCCTGAAAATCAATCCAAATATGCTTAACACATTCTAATACATACAATATACATAATCATATATATATGTACGTGTATAATATATATATATATGACATTATTATGTAATACTGTTGGTACTAATGTTTATATGTTACATTCTTATACGCAATACTCAATGACAACGCGCACGGGCTTTGCTTTCTCAAAAAACACAGACCTCTGACCGGCTCAGGCGGAGTGGAGCGTAGGGCCGCGAACAACTGACGCCGCTCTTCATCATTGCGCAGCCAGGCTGGCATGGGGCAGCGCAAACAGCAAGGAGCAGCTGAAGTAGCCAAGTGATGCCAGGTGTCGAAGTCTTGTATCAGTTTTAAGTTTTATCAGTGTTATCAGTTATCAGTTTCAGTAGGGTGCGGGTGAACATATCTGAACTGAACACACTTTGCAAATGTAATTATATACAGCTTTATACTGATGTACAGGACGGACACCCATGTGTACGAATGTATGTGTATATATAATATATAATAACAAATTATAACACTATTATAACAATATGAAGACCCGAATTACGTATCTAAGCTTGCAAAAAACGGTGGAACCAGTAGTTGCCCTATGTTGCCCTGTTCCTTGCTGGTCACCACCTATTTACTTAAATGCCATCTTCCAAGACGGTCTCCTAGACCTACCTGTTAATCAAAATGCTTGCAGTTTGAAGATGTCAAGTCTGTTTCTTTCACATGTGTTTTTCATTGTTTTTCATTTTGGATGTAGTACTTCAAAATGTGTCTTGCATGATTTGTCTTGCATGATTGAGTTGAAGCTTCCCGCATCTTTGGGGCCAGCAAGCTAACCAGGAAGTGCTGTTCGACATCGCCAGCGACATGCGGCATCCCAACCTTGGTGGCCTTTCTGCCAAAATCTGCCCAGACAGCGCACGCACTAGGTCAGTTGACATCAATAGTTTCCATTTTGTCAGTGGAAAGCGAACTGGATTTCTACGAAGTCTGGCCGGTGGATTGGTGATCTAACAAGGATTTTGGCAAGCTTGATGAGAATACATTGAATACACTCTGCATATTTTTTCAAATGCTTCCATATCTTTCCGTATGGCCATATGGCCAATCGATCAATCCACCAGCGCAGACAGACACAGAGCATTCTGCCAGCTACGGGAGAATCACTGTGTCCTGCAGGGGAAAAGAAGCATAAGAAGCAGAGCAAAGTGACCAAAGTGACCAAAGGTCAAAGCACTGAAGCAGAACATGTTGCAGGTCCCTCCTCAACATTAGCTGATGCGGAGAGCTGAATCACAGGGGTCTGTTGTATCCACCTATAGCATGCAATCCACGCTTTGGATTTCAACATATTTCTGCAAAAGTGTCATCCAATCATCCAACAGAATTGCTAGTCTGCTCCTGCCTGTACTTTCTGCGTAAGTTTTGCAAGATGCTGTCCGTTGCCTCTCGCAGGCATTACGGCTACGGGCATTGATGTTGTACTGGCGCAATTTTTGCACCCTAGAACCTTCTCGATTCACTTGTGTGCAACAAGCTGGATTTGTACTCACGGAATCTAATGGAGAAGTTTGATGTCTTCTCCTGGTTAGTCTTTGATTCTCAACTTTTCTTTTAAAAACTCTTGAAGATCGTGGTGACACCGCACACTCTTGAAGAGCTGTTTCGGCCTTGCTGTGCTGAGCCAACGATACACTAAAGTGGCAAGCGGCAACAGCCTGAGCATAGTCTTGAGTCTTGGCCGAAAAGTCTGGCTTCACAGTACCAAGATTCTACAATGTGGTGACTCACATTGCAGTCGTGACTTGTTTGCTCAGGTCCGAGCTTTGACAAAGGCCCATGTCCCAGCGCCCTGTACACACCTTGCATGACCCCCAGCACCATGGACTTCGTATCAACCCATATCAATTGTGGCTCCCAAGAATTCAAACGTGACCGGACCACCCTTCAATTGGTAGCTCACAACAAACCTGCTCAGCACAGGCGTCTGAAAGTCCAAAAGGGCTCGACTTGCTCAAACAGACCAGCCCAGTGTGCGTGTGACAAAATCTGACAAGATCTGACAAGATCTGACGAGATCCGACAAAGTTGCACTGACAAGGTTGCACCTGGTCGTTCTGACAGGTTGCAAAGCTGTAGCATTTGCACGATGGACCACCACGGGCCACATTCCCATGACGCTGAGTTGCCTCGGCTTCGACAACATCGAGAAAGCTCCACACTGTGAAGCCACCCATCTCCTGCCACGCCCTGCCACGCCCTGCCACTCCCTGCCAGGCCTCCAAAGGTGAAGGCTGTGCCTCCAAGAAAAGATTCACAGAGTTGAGACAAGAAGATCCTCAACCCGTCACACCCCGTCACAACTCTAAACTTTAGACATCTTTAGACCATGAATTCATGCACAAACACAGGAGATAGTGTGACTTTGAGCAATGGGATTGCAGTCATGTCCACAGATTTCTGGAGGATGGCCTCAGAAACTGGGGAGCTCATGTGGTGTGGTGAGGCATGCGTTGAAGATCTGCTGCTGGGGGAACTTGATGGAGACACCATTTGCCTCCAGACCGGAAACATCGTAAACGAGAAGGACAACATTCCCCATTGCATTCATTGCCCCCTGATATCTTGCCATATTTTGGAACTGCTTGCCATAGCTTGCCAGATCTTGCCACGGCGGCTGCCTGGCCAAGCCATGTCCACCAGGCAAAGGTGGTAGGTTCAACCTTGGTGGCAAATCAGCAATCTTTTCACTGCTTTTCCAAGTTGAACTGAACACTTGACTCGACCAAAAGCCCAAATCGGGATGCGTCAAGAGTCTTGAGAGTTCAGAAATTCGGCATCAAGTCCCCAACAGCCGTATCTTCGCAGACGAGACAGCATCTGCTGGTATCTCCTGGCTTGATTAAAAATTAAATTGTATGGCACTCTAGTCATAGTCATCTTCCTGTCTCCTCGTGCCTGAACATTTGGAGCGAGCCTCTTGAAGAGAGGTGGCCTCAAAATATCAAGTGGATTCAAGCCGTTGCGTTGCATGTTTCCGTCTGAAATTGTGGTGTTTATTGATTTGTGCAATTCCAAATGGACAGATTGTGTTTCATGATGCGCAGGTAAGTCATCTCAGATGAACCCGAGGCATGTACCCTGGACCAGGACCAAGCGAGCGAGCTTCAGAATGCCGTAGCAGTGGAACAACAGAGCTCTGACAACAGTCAAGTAGTATTGTAACCTGTCACATCATGTCAAATCTATCCAAGTTGGTCCAAGTTGTTGTTTCAGTGTGCCGCTTCCTGCAATTTCCTGACTTCATTCACCAAGGATACAAGTCACGACCACTGCGCCTTGCATGTAGGAGGAAGGGAATGAAGAGCAGAAGTGATTAAAGACATCGGAACCAGACCTGATAAGTCCGGCTTACAGGCTACATCTTCTTGAGAAGCTCTGTCTGTAATCGGTACAGGACTGCAAACTTAGTCAAGGGCGGTAGCCACCGGCTTGAACAGCCCTTTGAGCTGAGTCGGGCGACAAGCGCGAGTCCTTACGCTTTCACAGCTTCAGGTTTGCACCGCATTGCACCGCCAACTTGCTACTGTATGTGACATCTGCAAGTCACAAAAGTCGTGACAACACATGGCTCGGTTTCGGGCCGCTGAGGTATTGCAGTGTCTCAGTTCATGTACAATGTCCTTCGCCATAGTAATCTTGAAAGGACAACCAAAAACAAATTATGCCTGAATCTGCGGAACATTCTTCCTCTGGAAAGTTGTCTGCAAAGTCCATTGGCACAAGGTGTCCCTGCAGCAGGCACAAAACATTCTCTGCCACAGTTTCTGGACACTCCATCTGAAGGCAAGCCATCAGCACACAACGTGGAGATCACTTCATTCGATTCTTGCGGTCACACACAAAGCCTCGTAGAGCCCATCAGTCTGAGACTCTGGTTGTTGAGCTCCGTAGCCACTGAAGTAAAAGAGAACGTTGTCCTTGGGCAACTGGAGAAAATCATAGACCACGGATAAATCTATGCTGTGACATGAACGTCACAATGCACTTGAGAAACCCCTGCATGAAGTGGGTCCCACGGCACCCTGAGGCCAGAACCCCGGGCTTTGCACTTTGAGTCAGCCATTGCAATTCTGCGATGATGTTCTCCCTTCAGCAATCGCGCACGCTGTGAGACAAATGCTGCTTCTCCGTCAGCAGAAGTACTCCCGTGAAGGACAACAGCGCAGCCACTGGAATGAATGACTGCACTACTGTCAAGAGGGTGTAGCCCAAATAAACAAATGAATCCAATTCCCATAGTTGTGATTATGAGTTGAATAAGTTGAATATATATATATATATAGTAGTGTGTTTGCGTTTGTGTGTCTGTCCGTTCGGGTACCTCGTGGGACGCCTTTTTGGAGGTGATGCAGTCGAATCCGAGAAGTCGATCAAAGATCGGACCTGTCCATGGGGTTTGTCAAATACGGAAGGACAAAAACTCCGTTGTTCAGTCCTGGCTCTCTGGATACTGCAGGGACCTGAGGTAACACTAGACTGTGGAGACTATACAGAAAATGATCGAAAATATAGAACATGTAAAATAACGTAAATTGAAAACATGCAAAACTCACTAGAAAAGGAGGCATTGGGGCCATGGGGAGAAGGGCAACACATCCATCTGGTCCGTGTGCAGGCTTGAAAATACATCTTTTGTTTCACTCTCTCCAGCGCACTGTGCCAGAAACTCCTGAGCCCATTGCTGCCGCAGCAAGCACTGGATGTTCCATGCATCGTTGGCACACCCTTGTAGAGGAGCAAAGGAGCTGCAGTAGTTGCAACCTGCAAGACAACACTTGGCACTGAAGAGTAAGTGTCAAAATTGTAGAAGCGTAGCTTGTGCACCCTCGACTCAAAGCTTGGTGTACTTACGAGTCTCTTTTTAGAAACGATACGAAAAACAAAAAGTGTAAATGAAAGTTCTGCTAGACATGGCTGGAATCATGTTGGGATAGCCACAACGAAGTGGCCTATCACCAGAGCTCGTCGCTGCACAGCTTCCATCTTGGACCTATCACTACTGACACTACAAAGCATAATTGGAATACAAAGTGGGCTGTCCCAGAAAAAAAAGCAAGGCAGCCAAGTTCAATCAGGACCAGTGTGGGGACGCGGCAGTGTTGGTCCGAGAAAGAGCGAACCATGCAGTGCAGAAGGTACCGAACGGATGTTGCCCGGAACTTCCTCCGGCGCAGGCAAGAAAGTCAGTCTGGAAGATTCAGTGACCAAAACACAGTCATTTTTCTAGCAGGGCAATCAGCGAACCACTCCTCATGCTGTGTTTGCTTCTCGAACTCTTTTAGCTGCTTTTCTTTTGCAGCCAGCTGTTCCTCATGACCAAAGCTACACAAGCCTTCAGCATTGCTGTTTGCGCTTCTCGGGTCTCATGCCTCCAGTGCAACTGCCTTTTGGCGGAGCAGCTCTTTTGCTGCCTCTGATCAACGAAGTTCAAGCAGACAATCTGTGTAAAAAAAATGTTGAAAATTGTTGCAACAGCGGATGATCAGCGGATGTTGCATCTAGGTGTTGCTGGCCAGGTGGCTACTGGTACCTCTCTACCACTCCCAGGTGCACCTTCTGATGGCTGCTGCCATTGGGTGGGGCTTCTGGCTGGCCCTCGCTGGCCTGGCTCCAAACGTGAATCTGAAACAGGAGAATGTGGATTTCAATTCTGAATTGTCTGGCAGCAAAATCTTGCTCAGTTCCCTGCCGCTTGCTTCCAATGTTCCAGTTCATCCTTCGTTGTACCACTGTTGCCAGAGTTGCTACTTGTACTACGAGTACTCTAGCCATGCCCACAGTAGGTTGAGGATCAAGCTTTTTCTGTTTCGTGCAGGGATTGCTCTCTGATTGAAGAGAGGGAAGAGGTATGTAGTGTGTAATGTGTTTTTGTGTTTTTCGTAGTTGTGCAAATCAGAGCAGAGTATCTGATCGGCGGTTTTCCCACGACTTCCTCTGCAAGTAGTGGAAACCTTTTGACGCTACCCATCAATAGTATGAGAGATTTTAGGTAACTTCTGGGAGTCAAAGCTGCCGGTGAAAAAGCCGGAGCCTGGAACAATTGTATCTACACCTCATTTCTGTCATTGGAGACTGCTTCAGTGGGAAATGTGATGAGATATCTGGATTGCTTATACCATTTCTAGAGGGCCAGGCGGGGAAGCTTTGAATTTTCAATCAGGCTTTCAGATCTTGTGACTTTCTCCTTCACATGATCTGTATTCAGAATATTGTGATCTTCTTTTTGCTATAGAATTTTAGGACCTCAAAAGCACTAAGGCGTTCAAAGGGTTGGGAGCCACAAATAAAGGCCCCTGATCCAGAAGCCCCTCGTGCTGCACGGAGAGCCCTCTCAGAAGATCCTGGAATCAGAAACTTTGCAGCTACAAAGAGTGTCCTCGTATGACTTTACCTGGGCAGCCACTCTTAGGCCCAGGACCTGACAAGACGCAGGAAAAGTGCCTGAACTCTGTCGTGTCTTTTGTGGTCCCTCCTCTTCCAGGGTGACCCTCTTCAAATGCAACGAACAAATGGCAAGATTCGTGGACTAATCCAGACATTCTAAGGAAAGAAAGGAAAGAAAGCATTAAAAAAGAACAACACGGTTTCAGAAGCTGGCTGTCCGTTCTTGAAATGGACACATTGGGGGCTTGTCGCTCTTACCAAAGCATTGCGTGCGCCTCTTTGGCCCACTGTTGAAGGAGATTCGGGTGGAAATTGCCAGAAGTCTTCCGCAAAAGTTCATGCTCCTGGAAAGTCTGGAAATGTCGAGTGAGCTGCGAAAGAGCCGAGCCATGGCCCGTAGATTAGCACTGGTCATAACTTCATCGCATCCTGCAGAAGGAAAGTCTTCCGATGCTCTGCCTAGGGACTCTCCGTGCCAGAGCAGTCTCTTCTCGGTCTCTTTGGCAGCCCAAATTTCCCAGCCAATGAACTGTTTGCAGCCCGGTGAAAGATTTGCCGACCGACTTGCACTGAGTACAACAAGTTGCAACAACTGTACTGCAGGAAAGCTGCATCATGGAGGCCCAGGGTCAAGAGTTCCGATTCGTCGTCAAAGGTTCTGATGTCCTTTGCCCAAGGCTCAGGTGCTGCCAGTGCTGCATGGTTGTCAAGTGATTTCAAGCCTCTGCAGCCAGTCCTCCTCCAACTCCTGTAATTTGGAGTAGTGATCATTGCCTTTGCTAACCTCTGCAAAAACACAATTGCCAGTCCCCGGAGAAGGCTCGACTGCGAACACAACATCACTTCCAAACATGGAAATCGTATTCTTGCCTGGCTTTTCATGTCATCCATCACCACACGGTACTCTTCCTTCGCAAGGACCGCAAGGATACTTTACATTACATCACATTGCATAGGTTTCACTTGGTTTTACAATTTACAATGATGAGCTACAGCTGTCTCTTCACAGCACTGTCAGTCATATCACTTCATGCGGCTCCTGAAGACTCCTCTGCTCCTGGTGCAAAGCCTCGTCTGAAGCACGGACTTTGCAAAATCACCAAAATCGAACCTCAAACCATCTCAGATCATCTCAGATCATCTCAGACATTCTCAAACCATCTCCAAACCTATTCGCATCTTTCCACTGTCACATCTCAGCATGAAGTCGGAAGCTCCGCCTGGACATTCTTCTCTGCCTCGGTGCTTTCCTTGGAAGCCTCGCGTTGGATCAGTGGCTGACAACTTCGAGCTCTTGGACAGCTCTTGGCAGATCCTAACAAAATCCCGAGTGTAAACTTTCAACATCAAAATGTTCCATGGTTCTCCACATGTTCCTCCTGTTCCAAATGACAAGTGACCTCCCGAAGAGACGCTGCTCGGTGCACGAGAAGCTCCTTGACTTTGTTTGTTAGAACTGGGCAAAATCTGCAGGACAACAATCTTTGTGGGTTCAACGGAATTCAACTCTTGCAGCGAAGAAATGTGGCGTGTACAAATACTTGCAACTCGATACCCTTGATTTGTTTTGAGCGGAGCCTTTAGCAACTTTGTCTTCTGCTCGGAGGCTGGGTCCTACAATCTGCATGCGAATTACACTTCCCTGCTTACCTCACAGCATTAGTACAATTTTGATACACACCATTTCTTGCAAACCTGAACAAAAAGACACTGATTGCCAGCAGGATGGAGGATGCGTGGAAAAAAATTGGCCGCCAATTCAGGGCCAAGGGCTGTCGTATTTTGTGTGACAGCAACTGCAAACATTGCCCATGACATCCTGTCATCCCCTTGTCCTTCGTGTGATTCATTTGTGGGCCTTCGAACACAGAGAAATAGACAATTCCAACAGAGTCGAACATGACTATACGTGACTTCGTGAATCTTCTTCCTCAGCCAACTGAGATGCCGTCTCCAAAAAAGAGATAAAAACATATAAAAGCAATGATTTTTTGCATAAGATCTGGTCTGAGAATCTTGCCAGACTCTGCCTTTGCAAGGACCTGTCAAAGTATAAACAAATAGATAGATTGGCTTTGTTTTCCTGCTTCCTCTGGTCTGCGCCCTCACTCTTGCAGTGTTCTTTTGGATTGGCAAAAATAAGAAATGGTTGGAAATACAGCCATCGCCTGCTGACGCGAAGCACTCTCCTAGCAAGCAGATTTTGACTCGCCCCGGGCCCCCTTGGCCCCCCATTGGCTCACAAATGAATTGCTTGTGATATCTTGTGATGCTCCTGAAGTCGTTTCCGCAAGGTGGCAGCCTCTGCTTTGTGTGACTCGAGGGCCTCCACACAAGTCTTGTGCACACACACTAGGTCTTGTGCTGCAGAGGTCATACTTCATGGACTAGGATGGAGCAAAGTATTGAGGTGTCACAAAATGACAATCGCCAAAGAATGACATCAAGGTACATTGAGAGAGTCGAACCCCAACGGCCTGCATGTCAGCTGAGAATTTCTCCTCTCAAAACAAAGTTGTTGCCAGCTTAGCATGTTCAATCTCAATTTGGCAAGCAATCTCTTGAAAGGAAATCTCAAACGCAAGTGCAGTAGGTTTCTTGATTCACAAATCAAGCGGCAGTTGGTTTGTTTTGTCAGCTGAATCAGCAGCATTCACTTTTGCACGGTCATTCTCCAAATGCGAATGTTTGCATCAAATTGCTTCATGCTAAAATGCAGGTACTGGCTCGGGCCACCAGAAGTTTGTTTTGAAAGAAGTCACTGGTGCATGTTTCACCATCATGCTTGCTGCATTCAGTGTCTTTAGTCAAATTCGCGGCAAAAAGTATAATCCTCTGAAATCGCTGTGGGTCACTTTCGGTGTATGTGAATCCTCGATAATTCTCGCATGATTATTCTTGAACCTGAGTTCGGGGGGTCGATCTTAGGGATTATTCACAGGTGATTTGAGGATGCAATGAATTTCACAGCATCTCTTTTTTCAGCGTCCTTGCTGAGAATTAACTCCATGTCAATCTGGGAGAGCTTTGCTTCTAACGATGTTGCGCACTCCTCCGCCGTTTCAGACACTGACGGACCTGTTTCACCATGCTTCACCATAGTTCACCATGTTTCAGTCCTGAACCGCCAAATCCTTAGTGGCATCCTCGATTTTCTTCGAAGTGGCAGTGCGAACCTGGAGAAATGTTGAAACTTTGACGAAGTTCCACAGTTCCAAGCAAGAAATCCTAAGAGGCATAAGAAACCCATCCGACTGTCCATCTGAAGAAGGTGAACCTCCTCAAATTCGTTGCGCAGCTCTGTCAATCTCTCCTGGAGTGACACAAGTTGTTCCAAATTCTAAATCCAGGCCGAGCATGATATGGCATGCCTCGCATCCTACAAGTAATTGTTCTATATTGTTGCTATTCCCAGGTTAACTATCGAAAATGTCAATGATTATTCCTAAAACATCACTCCTTTTCCACACTGCAGGCAGCGGCCACTGCCTGGCCAGCACAGGTGGTCACGAACCGGGAAAGTGACACCTCTTGGCCCTGCAATTTGCACAAGTTCTTCTGCGCACCTCTTGCTTGATGGCCAGCTCTGCTCGTTTGGCGAGGAGTTCTCTCACCTGTTCCTCAACCTGACTCACAACACCCATTCTTCGAGCCCGCAATCTTCATAGCATCATGTGATAGAAAGTGGAAATGGCATCGACAGCAAACCATGAAGAATCCCAAACGCCTGCAACTCTTGCTCTTTTGTCGATGTTGACTGCCCTTTCTGCGCCTGTCTATTGGCAGTACAGTAAGGAGAGAGGTTCAAAAGGATTCCACCAGGAACCTTGTATCTTACTGGTAAATTCCCAGGGATGTACCCTCCTGTCTTAATAATCTGTTGTCCTGCAGCAGTTACAATTCCAAATGGCAGGATTGTGTACGCATGTAGCGTTGCCGACCTGTGTACAGGGTACAATTTCAATTTCAATGACACTCGCCAGGTCTTGCACTCCTTGTTACATTGGGAAACACGTTCGACACTTTTGCTAGCCTGAAATAGGGGAGTGAACGCTCTCCACGGGCATATATGAGCATATATATCTGGCTTAGGAAAGAGAGACTTACGGTGCTGTGGTGTTCAGGATCACGTTTCCTGGAACACAATGAACCTTGGTACCTTGGTAACACGACCGCTCAGCACCAGACTACACAGATTTTGACTGACGGCACCTATCTTTGCCCATATTTGCTAGGACCAATGTCTACAGAAGCCACTGCCTTGACACAGTCTTGATGCATAGCCCTTTGCTCGCTCAAGGCTGTCTTCATTGCAGCTGCAATGACTTCCTGCTGAGCTTGTGAGTTCAGGTACAGTGACAGTATGCATTTGTGTAAGACGGTGTATAAGATCTGTAAGCATGTCGAGCACATCTAGCACGTCTAGCAGTCTAGCATGACTGGAAAGAGATCAAGTCTCGCAATCAGAACATGTCACAGCATGTCACAGCCACGGCAGTCCTGGCGGGCTGCTTCTTCCGCGAGTTCCTGCAGATCCTCTGGCTGCTAGGCGTGAAATCTGAGTCTCCAACGTCGTCACTCTGATAGACGCAGCAGCATAAGCATGACATTCCAACAACAACTATGGCAATTGGGCAAGACAACTGGGAAGAGAAGATTACAGTACCAACTGATCATTTACATGCACCAAGTCATGCACTATGTGGTTGGTATTTCGCAAAAGAAAAAAATGTTCTTAGTAGCTCCTCCGCTCCTATTGACATATGTTATAGGCTGTGGATCAGTAATCTGGTATGAATCGCTCCACTGAAATTGGTACCATGGACCGCAGGTCATGTGGATCATGCAGTATCCCCTGCAGTATGGATCGAGGTATCTGGGAATGGTGTGGGTCCAGGGCCTTGAGGCCTTGATTGTCCATACCTTGTATTCTGACTTGTACAGTATGCATATGGTAGTCAGGATTGGTTCGGAAACACTGGGGTGGACTCTTTTATGTCATCACACAGACTGGTCGAAAAACTGTTTTACAGGACTCCCAAAGTCTCAGAAAGCTCCTTCCGTTGCTGCTCTAGATTCTTCTCCATCTCGCTTGCTCTCAGAGCCTCAAAATCAAAATGGATTAATTGTTTATCGATGTTTATCATGGATAAATCTGGATAAATGTAAAACTATTCTCAGATCTTCTCGTAGTTTTCTTTGGTCTCTGCCAGGCCCTTGAGGCTCTCACTTCTGCATCTGCAGCTTCTTTGGCTGCATCTAAGGATGCCCGTAGCTCTGCAGCTATCCTAAGTGCGATGTCGCCATTCATACAAGTCTCAGTTTCAGTTGCAACGGATTAAAATGCATGGAGCTGTTGGTAGCTGTTGGTAGCTGTCGGTAGGTATGTGTGAGGAGAAGTCTTCCGCAATTCTGCACCTTTTGCTTTTGCATGTTCGGCTTGCACCTGCCAGGGCGAAATTGCAAAGCTGAACAGCCGAACAAGCGCCAAAAATAGCTGAGTTCACCCTCGTCTTCGGTCTTTGCTGCTGGGTCTCGTTCAGTTTATCGAACAAGACCTTGGAAAACAAAGCAAACACTGGCTCCCAGTACGTGTATTCATAATATGTATATATTATATATATATGCATATGTTCCACATGTATATTATATATATCATACTTGACATAAAAGCGGATAAAATGCCCTTCAGTGATTTCACCCTGTGTATGTATTTTTGTCGAGCCGCTTTCTGCTTCTGCTCTTGCTGCTTGGACCTGAGATAGTGATGAAAATTCATCGTCGGCAGCTCCAAAGTGTTGCAGTAGTTACAGTTACATGTGCCCAAAAATACCAAGTGCATATGTGGGCCGACATCACGCGAGAGAATTCAAGCTCCAAACAATTCCTGGTGCTCTTCAAGCTCAGATTTCATCTGGACAAAGCGCTGCAGCAAGGCCTCTTCCTGGGAACCAGGGTTGGCGAGCAAATGCATGGCAGAACTCTGATTGAATTGCATGGATAAGAACATCGAAGTGGCAGACAAAAGAACTCAGTCATTCACTCGCTCACTCAATGATTCTGAATGTCTTGGCAAACCAGACTCCCTTGCTCCACTTGCACCCAAGGAAAGTAAACGAACTCGACAAATAGTTTGTTGTGTTTTCATGACTTGGGCGACAGGTTGGAGAATTGGCGAGCAGTCAGTACGACTCCTTATATGGGGTCTAGAGTCTATATATGGTCTGATCATGTTCATTGGAATCTCTTTGCGTATGCGCATTACACTTCGTTTGCTATTTGGCTACTCGAGTTGCAAATTACTTTTGAATCGCTTCACCAAGCTGTTGGCTGTCACTCCCCAGAGAAGGATGCATCAAGTTTCTGCTAGGGCACTTCAGCTTCATAGAACTGGGTTTTAGCAGTACAAGCAGTCATTGAAGTCATTCGTTCACTGATTGAACTAAAACTTCGCCCTTACTTGACTGAATCACTCAAAAAACACGCACCTTTAATCCATACAAATGACTATCCAGTCAACCACGCACATGCTCCCTCAATCACCCATTCAATCACTGTTTGCATCACTTCGTCATTCACTCCAAGACTGGACTCACTCACCCACTCATGAATGCAACGATCAACCAATCCGTCACATCCCCACCCCCTGTAGGCCTACCGATTCCTACTGCTTTCTCATCCTTTTGCCCCACGCTTGTCTGGACTCTACCGCTACCACTTTTATAATTCAAGAGCACAATGGTTGCATCTATCAGCAAGCCCAAACGTGCATTTACTGCTCAATGCTTCCAACAGAGATACTGCAAGCAGCTAATTATTTTGAAGCCGGATGAGTCACTAAGAGCAACAAGAATTGAAAAACAAAGCCGTGAGAGCTTCGTCGAATCCCCAACCTTGTTGACGTTTTCAGCTGTGGTCCTGTGGCCAGAACTGCAGTTTCAAGCATTAGGTCAAGAATGGTCCCGGAGGTTGAGGTGAATGCACAAGAGGACTGAGGAACGTTGAGGAACTGCATGCACTGAAAGGTTCAACACATCTGTGGACACATGGCAGCCTTGCAACGGAAACTCTTAACTTGTTCGCTGCCGCCACTGCACCTGTTTGCTGTAGCAATCACGACGGGAACGAAAAACTGATGCAGTCAGTGAATGAGAATTTTCAGGGGATATGCACTGTGAGACTTGGGACTAAGATTTTGATTTCAATGGGCGTTCTCCCTTCATCATCTTCTTGCCATGTGTGGCAAACCTAGCAAATCTACATTGGCCTTAGCAAGACCCCTCCATCTGAAATTCAAAGGTGACAGTCACCACTTACTTGAGACAACTTCGCTCGTGGTGGTCACGAATTATTGCTCTGCAACTAACGGCATCTTTCCTTGGGCGTCGCAAATATGAAACAACCTCCACAAAGGTTTTGGAGAAGCTGGGGCAGTAAGCCTTCTCCACTTTCTCAGCAAGTATGGGCACATGACTAATCCTCTCTAGGCTGTTCGTCGTTCAAAGAATCACCCGTGCCCCCCGTTGGCCTTGGAGCTCTTGCTTTGCTGCAATGAGCTCCTTCAGGCATCTCAAGGCATCTGAAAGCATCTCGAAGCATGTCTCTGCTTCGAACACGAAAATCACATATGTTTTCTCCTGCTCCATTGATGTGACTCGGTGTAAGCGTGATGTGACGGCCTTGGGCGCATCAATTTGGCAATTATGGTTGCCAACTGTGCTGCTGTTGTGCCTCCATTTGGGACGACCTCTTGGTACTCGCGGCCTCGTGAAACACCAGCCAGGTGTGAGTGCAAAGCTTGACAAACGTTGAGTGAAGGAAAGTTACACCAACGACCGGAGAAGGTTCGCTTGCAAATTGCTGATCAAGCAGAAGGCCTCCAGTGCCTGCTGCATGTGCTCTATTCGCTGCCTTGCTTCCTGCCGACAGCCTCACCAAGGGACCAAGGGATCAGGGAATCGAGACTCTCCATATGATTCCGATTCTGTCTCCCCCAAACCTAAGCAGATCTTCAAGCCTAGCCTTCAACATCATCTGCTGCTGCATCTATTTCGGCCTAGCATTTTGCGGAGCATTTTGCACGTCCCCTAACTCATTCTAACTGGCATTGCACTGGCACTTCACTAAGGCTGTTGAGCAGAAAATCCTAGCCCGCAGACTGGGAGACGCGCCAACTCGGAATCAAGTTGACGCTTGGCCTGCAACACAAACAGGCACAATGAGGCACAAGCTTGCGAAAACAAGGCGAGGACTCCCAGCTTTCCATTTTGCTCTTCCTTCCTATTGTCTCAGGTTGCAAGAGGTGTGCGAATCTAGTCTATTTGCTCCTCACAAGAGAAGTCCTGCTGCATGCCCAATCCTATTCAGTCTTGCTTCGGCTCGCTCGCATTTTCACCCAGCTCAAGTCATGTGCAAAGGCATGTCAGCTGATCTTCCTCACACGGGTCCTGAGACACGACCTCCATCAACTAGCCAAGAGCAAAAGGGAAATACCTTTCCTTGACCACCTTGCGCTGATCTTCGTAGAAAGACATTGATTTCTCCTGCGAAAGCGGCGAGACATCCGAGAAGCCAGCAACGCTCACATATGAATGCAATCCAAGGAAGAGATATTGGTAATTCGTAATTGTCATTTCACCTGACGACAAGAGTAATCATCTCAGATTAGAAAAAAAGAGTCAAGTGCGCAAGGAGGGCACTGAGGAAGCTTAGGCTAAAGATCCCTCAAGTGGGAACTTCTGTCTACAGAGCGGAAACGAGCAAAGGCCTGGGGCACACGAATCAGCCCTGACTTGCTCAAATGGACCAACTGAGACCGAAACATTTTTGCGCAGAAGATGCTCTTTGCCCTGCATGAAATAGGTACATGGTGCCGGGTGCTTGTAGAAGTACTTAGAGCGCAGGCAATGTGCTGGATTCAAGTTGAACCAGGAAGGTGCAATAGATCCAGCCACCTGGACGCACCACGACTTCATCTCTCTCTTTACATCAAAAAAACAAATCAAGAGTAGCTCAATACTACGACCTCAGACGCCCTTGAATGCGCGATAATTTTTCAACACCCATCTCAACGACATATGATTTTCCTTCCAGTTTGGATATTGTATTTTAGTCGTTGATTTTTACGAATCGATTTTTATGGATTGAGAAAACATATGATCGATCGACCAACGTCCGCTATGACGTTGACACTTGCCAAGGACATCAAGGACTTGGCACCTGGTCATATGTAAATTTGGTAGGCTCATGCTCCTTCACGTTGCCCAATTTTGGTACAATTGTCCTCAATCAAGTTCACAGAAAGAGCATGAAAGAGCCAGCTTTGTTGAGTACGGCAAAGGAACATGGCACAGCAAACACACATGTTTGGCACTTCTCATTTCTTCCACCAAGCTTCTGCAGTATAAACCTTGGATCCAAATTGTTGTCCATGATAGCAGCTGCAAAGCAACAACTGTTTCATCCACCGCACCAAAAGCATTGAAACACACAACCCACACCGAATTCCACCAAGCCACCAATGCACGGCAACATGGAGAGTGAACGCCAGCAGCATGGATAAGCCCAACGAAGTGTCCTCCAAACGATCCGAACGTCTGATGGGTACTGAGGTAATCTGTAGAGTGGTGCTGAGGCCTGCGAAGAACTGCAAGAACTTGCTAGGCGCAGATCGTGCAGTGTCCAACCGAACCCAAGCAGGTGCAAAGTAGTCAACGTCTACATCTTGCTTTGGGTCTTAGGGTCATGGAATCTATGAGGACACATACATTCACCATGCCAATAGATCCAATAGTATAGATGTCATGGTCCTGGACGCAAAAGCTCGAGGATACAGTACAGTTGGCTTTGAGGACGAAAGCCTATGCTCAAGGAAATTCTGCACTAGCGGCCATGGCGGCCATGTGTGAGAGAGGATGAGACAGGTGATTGGATCTTGCGCAGGCAATTCATTTTTGATTGGCCCAAGGAACGGCAAGTGTCAAAGCACAGGGCAGGATCAAGAGCATCTGTCCATAATCATCCACCACTGAACCTTTGTGAACGAACGCAAGCCTTTCAGTGGCATTCTTTCAGTGGCATTCGCTCGAACTCTTTGCCGCTGAGATTCTGCAGAAGCAAAATGACGGCACACATCGCAGTACCCGGTAGTGGTCAAAGCGTATAATGAACCTCAGACTTTGCAGATTTTTGAACTTGGTGTTCATGTTAGAACTTGAAGTGTGCAGCCTTTTTGACTTCAAACCTCAAACTCCAAGCGACACGCGTGACAGCGCCAGAGCTATGAAGAGGGGCAGCGTGTAGCCGCCAGGCAGGAAGAAAATAAGGACTGCAGCTGTGATATTGATGAGAACATCTGCATATCTCCCTGAATCCATAGGCACCAGAATCTTGAGAGCCTCACAACTTGGATTGATGCTGAACAAAATCTTAGTGAAATGTTCACCTTCACATAAGCAGAAGCTACCGCGCAACCAACATCCCACAAGTCCCACAAACATCATCAAACATCCACAAGCCACACCTGCTGTGCTCTGAAGCCTTTGATGTGTGAGAAGCTCAAAACCACTAGGCGTGCCAAATGCAGTGTGAAGCAATTTGCACCAACGGCTTCTCCTGCGTCACTTTTGGGAAAGCAAACTCAAAGACCATGAAAGACAGTGAAAGACCCTGAAAGAGCCAGATCCTGTTTGGCATTCCAAATGTACTTAAATGAAGTTGTCAAAACGTCGCTTCCACCTATGCACCTTTGGTTCAGATTCATGCATGCAATTGCACCGTGGTTGAACAACTGAAGAGGCCGGCCAGTGCTGTTTCAAGAAGAGTTGCGACAGCAATCGCTGCCTACAAAGGGGATGAGGAACATTGCTGGCCAGCAGTACTTAAAGACGGCGAGGCCAAGTTGCCGCCTCAAATCAGTTTCACTTGAAAGAATACAAGGAAACGATAGAAAACGCTTAAGAATCTTAAGAAAGAGTGAAAGGAAACACTCAAAAAGCAGTAGCACGATGGGGGATAGCAATCATTGTTGAGTTTGAATCTACACGCTAGACAACGCGATGTTTGAGCGAGGCCGTTTAAGAATGTGTGTTTGTGTGTGTGTGCGTAGTATAGCCAGTCACGCACCTTCACATTTTCTGCAAGTTTCTTTGATCTTAAGATGGCAGGGAGCGTGAATTTCAAAATCTATGCTTCGACTATCTTTCGCAAGCGGAGAGGCTGAAAAAATGTTTTGCGTCTATACAGAAGGAGTTGACGCGAGGGCTTACCCAAGTCTAGAGCATTCTAGAGCCAGAAGCCTGATGATGTACACTACCGCTCTAGTTTTGCCTCCTCTAGTTCTCGTTAGAGCATGAGTGAAGAGTCTGCTGAAATACATTTTGATGTTTTAATTGGCTTCGGAGATGGCTGGGCCTGGCGAAAGGAGCCAGGCACACGCACACACACACACACCCTAGATGGACCCTACTTGGGTAAGGTTTCAAAGCTACTAAAAAGCCTGTTGCAGTGCCTTTGATGCAGCAAGCAGCTGGATTTCAAAACTCTCGAAGATCGCTTGGGCGCGGGTCAAGTCTGCAATGAGTGTTCCGCCATATGTCCGCGCTCGCTGAGCAACCTTGGATACAGCTGTTTGACAGGAAGGGATTTAGGAGGTTGCGCACACGACATATGTCAGGATCAAGCTGCGGCTGTGCGATAGGCAATACTCCCAGTCAGGGCTGCATCCAGCAATATGTTCACCAAAATGGAAAATGTGTACAGGACCTCGGCTGCAGCATGCACTAGCGCACATCAAATTGATGAGAACTGATACATACCATTATACTGTGGCATACTGTGGCCGGCAAACGCTTCAGAAATACATTTAGTTGGCATTTCGACATCTTCAAAGAGATCTGCTGACCCTATAAGATCTATCTCGGGGCAAGCAGTGTCTGGTCTTCTCTCGTGCAGAGCAAACATCCAACCGACCGTTTCCGACACGCTTCCTCAGCAACGTTGCAACTCAGGCGCGGACCATGTAAGTTCCCTCCTGTGAGTCACGAAGCATAAAGCCGACCCTCCCAGCTGCTTCTGCACATGTTGTATACATTACCAGGTTGCCAAGGACAACGATGATCGTCAAAGACATTGTCACAGCTACAGACGGCTTGTCGCCATTTGAGTAGGAGAACGACGACGTATACTGGGCAAAGGGCATGTAGATAAGCACTGACCAGGCAAAACTTGCCAAGAGGATCATCTTGATGGCTGCCCAAATCCGTTCGCGTTTCTTCTTTCTTGGAATTGCAAGATTCTGCCAACAGATTCCCATGGGTTCAGATTCCAAAGCTTGCGCCTGCAGTGTAGAGCCTCGAAAGGAGATCTTTTTCTTCGAGTTTACTGCTGCATCCCTTCCACTTTCTGTCTTGAATACAACCAATGCCGCGGGAGAAGCTACCAGACTCTTGGAAATGCTTTCGGCCGAAAGGGCCTCTGGAGCTGCCGGAATCTTGCTGTGCTCTGTGAGATCAATTCCCAAGACCTGGGTCAACATCAACTTGTCCATACCTTGAAACCACTTCCATCGAGCAGAGCTTTGTGGTCCTGCAGCACCTTCATCAGCGCCGTCGGCCTTGCTTGCAGGCTCAAGTGCCATGACGTCTTCCGCGAGGATCTCCAGGATTCTGTCGGAATGCTGTGCAAAATCCCAGCCAACCGAAACGCCAACTACATCCTGAGCTGCATCACAACCCACTGCTGATCTATGAGATATAGTTCACCCAAAGAATACCCAAAGCACTTTCTTGCATGTAATTGCTGCAAAGGTATTTTATTTGATGCTTTCCAGTAAGATTTTGCTGGATCCATAGAAGGTCAGCCCACTTCATTTCCCTATCAGTCTGCTAAGGAAGCGAGAAGTGCAAGTCTCTGGAGGGATTACCACCATAAAGCATTATGTACATGAGCTCGTGCTCTCACCCCTACATGTCAGAAGGCAACCCAGAAGACTTTGCGGTAACACACAAAACAGGGTGATATGATATGTATGAAAGCCCGGTAGCTGTAAGGGACTCTTGGCTGATTTGAAATTGATAGCTTACATGCAGGAATGCTATGATTGCCTCCAAGGTTCCTGCGACAAAGCTGTCTGAAGCTCAGTCTTTAGGATCTCCTCAAGGTTCTCGGAGCCGGAGATAGGTGGCAAGCCATCCACGTAAGCAACAAAGTCTGCATGTGTGGCGTGCAGGTTGAGTCCTTAGACAATTGCAAGCGCTTGCAAGCGCTTGCTAGCGCTAGGTAGAGCTGCTAACTATTGGTCTATGAATCAACTTCCTCAGCCTGGAAGGAAGCAAGTAAGGCTCCAACGGTGGAAAGCTCGCTGCTGCAAAATGCCAAAGCCAACGCAAAGAACAAATGAAGTCACATAAGCTGTGGCCAAGAAGTAAGCCTTTGTGGACATCAAACTCCGTTGCTGCTCATAGCCCCGGTGGATCACTGCACAAAGCTCTCGTGGAGATTGGGGATTTTCGGTTCCGAGAGCATACAGAGAGCCGTCAGTTGAGGAAACAAAGGCCACCTCAGCCATTGAAATGCAAAGAGTTTCCGAGAAAACTGAGAATACAAGTAGCACAAAACAGAATTTCTATTGGGATTGGACTTTGACACGTTCATTGCAACCCAAATGCCCAGAGTCCAGCGATCACCAGCGCCCAGACGATGATGAAAAGTTGGTAGCGGAAGAACAGCACAGAGCCGGGACCAGCTACAGGCACCTCAGCAATGTTGCAGCTTCTGAGAAAAAGGATCTGGAAGGATGAAAGATACATCATGAAACCAACATGAAATCCAAATCAACTTTGGTGGATATTTCAGTATATTTCATATGTTCTCATATTTTCAGTTCCAGGAGGGTCACTCCACTCACTCCACTCACTCCCGCAAGCTTCTACCAAGGAGCTGCTAAAGTGTTTGTCTTCAGGGGCCATAGCTGGCGTTCCTCGCCTCGCTCCTCCCCCAAGTCCGGCTTACAAAGCTTCGTTTGAGTCCTGAATTGTAGAGCTTTCCTTTCTTCCTCCACATTCACTTTGGGTCGGGCTGCCAAACTTGCATACCATGCCACAAAGTAGATGATGGGGAACGCATAGGTATGTGATGATATAGATAGGTATGGCTATATGTATATGATATAGATAGTAAGATCGGTCAGTTTTACACACATATATAACTATACAACTATATTTGTGACACCGCCACTTCCACACAGAGTTGATTTTGCAAAAAAAAATAAAAGTCAAAAAAAAGTCAAAAACAGAGTCAACAACATAGTTGTTAAAACAGTCAACTGAAAAAAGGCAAATCAAAAAGAGTCAAAAAAAGTCAAAAACAGAGTCAAAAAACACACAAAAAAACACATACAAAAACATAGTCAAAAAAAGTCAAAAAAAAGTCAAAAAAAAGTCAAAAAACAAAGTCAAAAAAAATCAAAAAAAAGTCAAAAACAGTCAACCTGCAGCAAAATGCAGCAAAATGTAAGAAAATGTGGGAAAACTCGGAAAAAGGATCAAAACTAGGAAAAACAAGGAAAACCTAAGGCAAACCCTGCAAATGTGTAAATTTTCCTCCCCAAGAACCTTGCAGCAACCCATTCCAGCTGACCCACCTGACAAATCCAAAAAAGTAAAAAAAAATCAAAAAAAAGTCAAAAAAAATCAAAATTGTAGGCCTACTCTTTCTTGACTCCTTTTTTGACTCATTCTGTGACTGGCTCTTCCAGGCCTACTCTTTTTTGACTCCTTTTTTGATTCCATTATTGAATTTTCATTTTTTTTGACCAACCCCACTTTGTGCGGGACGATGGGATCACAAAACTATATAGATATGATATAAATAGGCAAAGATATGTAAGAATAGATATAGATATGGATATAGACATAGATGTGGATGTATAGTTATACATATACATATATTAGAATGTACAGATAGAGCCATCATTATATACATATTGTATGTATAGATATGGCAAAATAGACAGATATCTAGATATAGAAGTGAGATGTTCAATTCTATTTTGTAGATATTCGTAGACCATCCGGCTCTTGGGGCTGTTGTGGTGTGCCTGTTGGGTTGACCTTCATCAACGGTGGCCTTTAAGAAATGGGGAAAGTAGCGATCAACGGTGGCATGAATGGTCCGAAAATTCTTATCATTTCTAACTATTATTACTTCTAATGGTGTTTAATTGCAATAGTCAACTAGGAGTAGTGTCAAGAGGTTGATACCATCTAGAGTACTCAATTGGATATGTGTATATATACATATACATTTGTTTATTTTGTTTGTTTATCTATATTGCGTTGGGATGTTTACCACGAAGAGGGCACGGGGGGGTCAGATACCCATTCTAAGCTGCTCTTCATTATTGTTTTCCGTTGTTTGAGTCAGGCCATCACGTTTCACTCCGGCAGGCAACACGCCGTGGTGGAATTGCGAAGGTCGTCGCCAAGATTGTAAAATGGCATTCTGGTCCCTTGGCTTTCGCTGTCATTGTTGTGGATATCAATGTATCCTACAATACTACATACAACATACACAATCATAAATACATCTAGAATCAACCAGGGGTGTGTGTGTGTAGGTATATATGTATGTATATGATTAAATTATATGCTTATATATATATATGCATTTGTATGATATATCATATGCATATATATATACATACACCATATATATATATACATACACCATATATATATATATGTATATACATATACACCATATATATATACACACACACACTATATATCACATATATGCATATAATTACAATATACACTGATATATGTTACAACTATATTAAGTTGACAATTCATGGGCATGCCATGACGCCATGGTTCACAGCATCGCTGTGCCGCTGTTGAGGTGATGACCTTCTAGCTGCAGTCCGTGGATTCTTGCGAGCTTAAAAAATGGAGTGTCAGAGGGGCCCGTGGTGAACTTGCGCAGCAATCAAAACGGGGCCCATGATTTTTCGGGGGAGATAATCCAGGAGTCATATGAGATAATCCATGGGAAATCCTCTAGATTTTCTGGCAACCTATGGTATCCAATTTTCAGACACCAGCTGGGTCTTGCGGACTCTTTTTGTCTTGCTGACCTGGTTTTGTAGAAGCCACAGAGAGCCATCTGTGGATTGGCATGCCAAGTTGCTAAAGAGACTTTTAGCCACGGTGTTTGCTCCCTGGGAAGCGCGGCACTGCATGACAGGCACCAAGTCATGAAATACCTCAACTCAACGCCTCTGCCGGGATGCCAAGGGCAGATATTCATCGGTTCCACATGGTTCCACATGGTTCCACTGCTTGGTGCGATTGGTTGGACAAAATCAGGATGACACCAAGCAATGGTTACCCAATGGTTCCTGAAACTGGAGCTCCCTTTCTAATCTATGGAATCTATGGATCACTATATGGTTAATCTATATGATCAATCACTAAATGGTTATTCTTTTCAGCATCAGTTTCCAGGCAAGCGCCAGAGCACTTCAAAGGTCGAGAACTGTTGCGTCCAGGTGGCTGAGGGATGGCGGGATGGCGGCTGGAGCCACACCTTGGGATCGATGGTGCTGGATGGCAGGTGATGACCCTTTGAAGTCGCTCATTCGACAAGCGAATGTTTGGATCTCAGTTTTTTTTTGGATGGGCAGCGTATTCATATCCCAGAGATGGAAACGCTCATTGACATAATTATACATATACTGTATATATAGCTGTATACATATTTACACTGTGAGTACTGAGTACACACTTGTATATTCATCACACATGTGAGTCATACTTATGACTTTTTCGCTTTGCACACATTTCACATTGCCAGACATCGTCAGTTTGCGCGGCCGTCAGTTTGCCACACCAGGAAGAGGAGTCCTTCCGCAAGGCAACGGAGTTCGTTTTGCTGCATTCACCGCAGCAAGGGAACCTCAAAGAAGAGGCACCGCGCAGATGTGGATCATAGCAACATGCTGTTGGCCATCCTAGTTGATCGTTCTCAAATACTGTGACTTATAAAAAAGCAGAAAGGCTTGTTGTGGGCGCGGAAAAACAGTTTATTTTTAGAGATACCCCACTTAATCATACATACTCATTTGGTTGTTTTCTGTTTTGTCGTGTCCACAACAATCCTTCTAAATAGTAATATATGCATTATTCACTCAATGAAATCACTGTTGACTATTTGTTGTTTATTTGTCTTCATGCAGCTAGATTACTATGGATTAATCTGGATTAATCCTGGGACCAAAAAAACAAAAAAAACAAAAAAACCAAAGATTCCAAGACTAGTCTGATCACTGGAGTAGTTGCCAAATCTTTGGTTTTTTTTGTTTTTTTGGTTTTTTTGGTTCTGTTCGCCCTCCCCCCCCCTCAAAGCAAAGGCTCTTCCCTGAAAGTTCAGGGCCCCCCCCCTTTAGCGAATGCCCCCCTCCCCTAGCGAAGCTTTAGCAAATGCCCTCCCTCCCTTAGCGAAGACCGTTGCGCTGCCAGGCTGCCAACTCAAAGCTTCCCTCTCTTAGCGAATGTGTTGCCCTTCAGCCGAAGCCATTCCCATCGAACGGAGATGGTTTCTGGATTAATCTGGATTAATCCAGATTAATCTTAAGCAAT